AGAGAGAGAGGGAGTAGAAAAGAATGAATATACCTGTTGATGTTCTTTTTTTTTTTTTTTTTTTTTTTTTTAGGATGAAGACCTATCCCTTTGCATAAGATTATGCAATTTGGTAGATGAAATTCAAGGCGAAGTAACCACAGATTTGCCTGGAGAAAGAGACGAGCTTCATCAACAATCTGGCGTGCGCCATGCCGCAAACGGAAAATAGCAGCCAGTTGGAATAGAGCATTTGGGTACTCCAAGGAACATTGGTGCCTTCCTAACACAGCAGCCAGAATGGAAAACCTTCGGCCAATGCTCATAGCCAGTGAGCATACTAAGACCTTTTGTGTTCCTACTGGGCGTGCCATTCCTGTTGATGTTCCTGCTACTGTTCCTCTTCCTGTTGTCGTTCCTCGTCCTGTTGCTGTTCCTTCTGCTGTTCCTGCGGTTTATTCACACTGCTGTTGTCATGCTGTTCATGTTTCTGTTCCTGCTGCGGTTCATCTAACTCTTCATGTTTCTGTTCGTGCTTCTCCGCCCACTACCTGTTGATGTTCTTGCTTCATGAATTGGAGAGTAAATGGGCAGGCCTGCAGCACACGGAGGTGAAAGTGCATCTGCCCATGTTACTGGTGAAGATTCATTTTTATTTTTTTCCTCCGATGAGCGATGGGGCATGTAGTTGTGCCCTCGGTGGGTGTGCTAGCCCACCCGACACCAGAGAGGGTGGAAAGAGGAATCATGTGCTGGTGTGTACCATACAGAAGTAGAAATGGTCCGTTCTACATGTGTGCTAGACTGCTAGTATGCTACAAGAGGATAGCAATAGAAGAAAGGAGAGGGAGATAGGCAAATCGGTATCTGGAACGCGGGAAAAAGTGAAAAGAGCAATGTGGAATCGGAGGTACAGAGGAAGACCAGGCACCTATGTTCTTTTCGTGGTGTTGCAATTTGTGAAATGCTTGGTCATGCCCACTGGCTAGGCGCGCTGCTTTTCATTGGAATTAATAAATGGACTTTGAAATTAACAAATGCACGTAATCAAACTTGAAGGACTCGTTAGGATGAGACAATGACATGCTTCTGATCCAGCGGTGAGGTTCAACAAGGTGGAACCAGTTACTCAGGCAATGATGATTTGGAAGTGCAACTCCGTCCTAATCAACGGAGGGGACATGGTTTCTTTTGATCAATAAAGACCAGTCAAATCAGACCTATAACAAGTGTGCGCAGCCTACAAAGGAGTGTCTGAAATCACCTCCACTAAGAAAGTATTTGTCATTATTTATTTATTTATTTATTTTCGGTGCCGGGATGGACTTAGCAGCAGGCCACATGCCCTAAAACGAGACCAGTGAGACCAGACCAGCAGGGCTCACGTGGTGAAGATTGGAAGAGTGCGGGCTCAACAGAGTTTTACAGGAATTAGGTTGACCCCGGAGGGCCTTGCAGACTCAGACGGAGCCTAGACTTGGGCGGCTTGGGCCCATAAATTTGACCCGTTGTTATGGCAAAAGTCGCAGACTCAGAGCTGGGTTGGGCCAGACAGACTCCTCAATAATTAGAGCTACAGATACCCAATTCGAAAACTTTTGGAATACTCAAACAACAGATTTCTGGCTGGTTTCTGTTAGTCTCAAACAGAGGTTCTGAAAACTCTTTCCTGCAAACCTCAGATAACCAAGTTGTGGATCCAAAAGTTAGCTGCTAAATAGAGTCATGACTCTACATCTCGGGAAATCATCTTCGGACCAGGTGTCAGACTTGATTTGCGGACCTGACCACGGATTCGGGAACCCAGAAAACGGGACTCCACGCAGAGGTACAAGTTCAGGGGAAACGCAGGACACAAGAGCCTGCGAAGAGGTCTAGGACCGTAGGTGCAGAAAATAGATAACGACATAATGTCTCAGAAAACGGAAACAATCAGTAGTTGGAGTATACTTTGCAGTTCCATTACCTAGTGGCAACAAACAGTGCAGATCAAACACGCAGGAAAAAGACACAGACATTCATAGATCCGTCATAGGGCATTCCATGTTGGATCTGGATCGGATGCTTTGGCTCATGTGAGTCGCCTGGAGTGTATCTGACTCGGGAAACTCTAGCCCTATGCCCCTGATCTTGCCCAGACACAGGTATCATCGGGCATGACACAGCGTTCGGCTTAGGGTTTATACTAGCGCTGTCGCGACACAGACAGAAAAATCAGGACATAACGGCAGTGAAGTAAACAAACCAGCTTCAAGTTACATGAGAACATGTGACGAAAGATTTGGGTGTGGCAAAGGACGAAACGTCCATAAGAGCATCGAGTCCTCACACAACACATGGTCCCCCAGTGGTTGTGCAGAACGACACTGCACATCCGTCTCCTATGTATGACAAGAAAAACACAAAGTATTGAGAAAAAAAAAAACAACAACGATGTCTTGCAAATGTGAGTAAAAACGGATGCATGTGTGCTCATGATGCCCCTGCCGAGACGGAACGTCCTAATCACATCCGCTCCTTCTCAGCCCCAGCATGGGACAAACTCCCTCCTCTCCCAGTTCCCTCAAGGGCATCCAGTTCCCACCCAAGACAAACACCGATGTGGGCGAACCTTATCCACCACATATGTATGCATGTATGTGTGTATGTATGTATGTGCATGTGCCTGTGCATTTGTGTGTGTTCGCGACTGTCAATTGCCCACAACAGTTCTGATCTGAATCCGAAAATATAACTTTTTTCTTACCCTCCCCCACCACACCATACGAGCAGCAGGACGTGCTCCTGTGCTTTGTGCCGCTTCCTTTTCAGCTGCTACTACAGGTTCAGGTGTTGCTGTGTGTGTGTTGTTTATGTATGTTTGTGTGTGTGTGTGTGTGTGTGTGTGTGTGTGTGTGGATGTGTTCATGGTAGGTTCAACCCGGGTTTACACCTTGGATCTACTGTGGATACTCAAGAATGATAAATMATCTTAATGKTAAATTAAACCWGGKTATAGACCCTCGATTTACTGTGGAAACTATGAAGAGCCCTCGAATAAGTACAAAACGAAAAAGAGACAAGGTCTGAAAATAAAATATCGGCCTGGATTGGAGTATAATGAAACAAACTCGCACTATAAGAACTGTGGGAACCTGACTGCCTCTGCGAGCTGCCTTCTTTACGTGTTGTTTTAATTAAGCGAAAGGATTTCACCTTCCTAAGCCTGTCGTGGTTTGATCCCAGGACCAGTTGTTGTTGCTGTTGCCTTTTCTGCTATGTTGTATGTTTGTGTGATGCTGTCGGAGTTTGAACCTGGGACCTAGTGTTGACTTACCTGTGCCCTCCCCGATAATGCGTTGATGCCGACTGTTTGTCAGCTGTTCGCTGGGCTTGTTCCGATCAGGAGTGGTCTATGTGTTAAAGTCGGTTCACTAGTGGGGGCCAAGTGTTATGCCTTACGGTTTTGTGTGTGTACAAATAACACGCACTAGCCAACCGTCCCTAATGGTGTCTTCACGTCCCCGATGGTGCGTTGATGCCGACTGTTTGTCAGCTGTTCGCTGGGCTTGTTCTGATCAGCAGTGATCTATGTGTTAAAGTCGGTTCACTAGTGGGGGCCAAGTGTTGTGCCTTACGGTTTTGTGTGTGTACAAATGACACCCACTAGTGAACCGTCCCCAATGGTGTCTTCACGTCGCTGATGGTGCGTAGATGCCAACTGTTTGGCAGTTGTTCGCTGGGCTTGTTACGATCAGCAGTGGTCCATGTGTTAAAGTCGGTTCACTAGTGGGGCCAAGTGTTGTGCCTTACCGTTTTGTGTGTGTACAAATGACACACACTAGCCAACCGTCCCCAACGGTGTCTTCACGTCCCCAATGGTGTCTTCACGTCCCTGATGGTGTGTTCACCTTCACGTCAGCCGCTGTTTATTTCCAGCTACCGATTTGCCACACAACGTCGTGTTACATCCCGGAATTCAGTATGGTACTGATGGTCATTTCATCTCTCTCTCTCTCTCTCTCTCCACCAACAATTTTCGCAACAATGATTTCTCACAAAAACATGTCATAACTCGTGGACTATATGGATGGATTAAATGCTTCAACCGCGGCAGTCGGAGAGACCATCGGCATCGGAAAAGAAGACATGGTGGAAGCCATGGCGGGAGCTGATGTGACAATGGTGCAGCAGACACACACGAATGCACAAGAAGGGGGGATGAAGACGAAGTGTGGCATAGGGGCGACACCGGATGTTGGAACAGAAGAGATGGTGATGGGAGATGATCAAGAAATTGGGAGAGGCCGCAACAGCCATAGCACGACCGTGATTGGTAAAGAAGTGGCGAACAGGCAAGATGTCGGGACATCGCACTGCCGTATGTTATGCATTGTGCCTAACGAGAATGTTCGAAGGACGAATGTCGGGGAATGTTTTCAGTATGCTATCAATTGGGGACATGGCTGTATACAACCTGGCATCATTGGAGGTGAGCACTGTTTAGCCTTCAAATGTGGAGGAAGTTGGATTCCTTATCAACCACCCACGGAGCTGACATGGCGCAATATTACTGCGACCATAGTCTTTGACAGGTTGATCAGGCTCAATGACAGTGCATCCCTGTTAGATGTCTCCCGTCATTCTCTCGACATGTGGAATAAACTCATGGAGGCGGGTGATTTATGGCTCATGGAGGACGCCTCTCGTTCTGAAAGCAATGTCGCAGCGGTCCATTGAGGACGCCTCTCGTTCTGAAAGCGAGGAAAATGCGAGAACAGACGACGAGGGCGGTGACAGTGAATCAGAGACCATAGGGGATTCAAAAGAAGAAGAGGGTAGTGGCGCACAGCAGGAAAGTGACACTGTAAGCAGTGACGCGAACAATGATGAAGAAGAGAAAACTTCATACTACAGTAATGACGAGGACAGTCAGAAATCACGGAGTAATGGGAAGAGGTCAAAACGTGAAAGTGAAGGATCACTTGGCCGAGGGGAAGGAGAAAAAATTGAGATGAACAAGCAGTTGGTGCGCAAGGAGTCATCGTCACAAGAACGTAAGTGCATTATTTAAAACAGTAGTTCACAACCTCATATCTCGTATATGTCGTCCTTTTAATGATGCACAAAGAGAGTTAAGAAATATTACAAAACTATTAACAAAATCATGTGTTGTCTGGCCATGTACGTTGTTTGCTGTCTTTTTACGTTTGTCTGTTATCTCTTACCAGGGAGCGACATTGTCGAGGAACCGTCAAACATACAGAGAAAGAGAGGACACCACGAGAAGAAAACTAGCGAGCAGAGATACAGACAAACAAGTCATGGAGACAACTAGGCAATGATCCGTGGGATGCAGAACCATTCAAGACAGCGATAGAGAAAGTTTTTCAGATGCGAAGGGATGATGAAGGGGTCGGGGTGACTTTGCAACAACTGGCATTTGCAGAACTTGTTGTGCGGTCTGAAATCGAACAGACTAAGAAGACAAGCAAAGCATCAGAGCAGATTCATAAATTAGCATCAATTAAGCAGGACATTGTGGCGTCAGTGCGTAATCGCGATACCGTAATGAACTTTTTAATATTCAAGCTTGATCGCACAACATCGGTTGCAGAAAAGGATGTGGCATTCTTCCACGCAGGAACACCCAGCAGGCAAAGCAATGCGGCTTGTGTCACAAATATCACTAAAGATGATTACGAGTTTGAAGTTCTTGCGAAACCACGTGGCAGCGAATCAGGGAGAGAACAAGAGACATAAACTTCAATTGCATGACTGTTCGTGACGGCATGTGTGATGCAGCAGTGCACTGTACTTGAACTTAGGGGCGGTCGAACTTTTAGTACGCCATGTATTTTTGTGGCATTTATCAGGAGACTAATATTGCAGATGTGGCATGTATCATGAGACTTTACAAATACGGAGAGAGAGAGAAAGAGAGAGAAAGAGAGAGAGAGACAGACAGACAGAGACGGCGAGAGAGAAAGAGATGATTCAAAGTTTCGCTTGCGAGTTTCGATGAATTTTTTGTTTGTATTTACCAGGAGACTAATTCTGACAATGACGACAGTCCGCCATGTTCATATTATATTTATCGGAGCCATCTTGTAGTTTGTGCGGAATTATATGATCGTCAGTCCATTTGATGTTGTATATAGATGTTAATAATAACATTCATCCACACTCTTCTAGTCGTTTCTTCCAGTGGTTGTATGCAAGTATTCTTGACAACTACCTTTTCACAAGTGATGGACAAAAAATGTGGTCAATAGTGGTCCTTTCCAATCTTAGCTTATTGTGTCGATACCGATTTGGCTGTCAGTTTTATTTTTTTTATTTATATAAAGTTATTCCAGTGCTGGGATGATTGACAAAATGGATGTATGACAATAGCCAATTTGAGGTACAGGAGAGAAGAACACAAAAATGGGCCGTAGTGGTGATCCAATGACGAGAGTCAATTCCTGGTAGTGGGATGCATAACAAAATGCACATATATCGTGGTTTGTTGCGGAATAATATGATCGTCCGCCATTTTCATGTTGTAGCTACATGTTAATAATAAAAGTCACACACCCTCTTTTACTCGTAGCTTTCAACGGTTGTATGCAAGTGTTCTTGACAACTACCTTTTCACAGCTAATGGACAAAGAATGTGGTCAATAGTGGTCCTACCGAATCTTAGTTTATTTTGTCGATACAAGTTTGGCTGTCAATTTTCTTTGTTTATTTTATTAAACTAAGTAGTAAAGACAAAATCACCATAGATCTCGTGCCACATGCATCATAAGTGCAGAATATGTATATGAAGTGGTTCACTAGTGTGAGCCACGATAAACGCACGACAGTGAGAAGAAAAAAAAAAAAGCCCATAGTGGTGAATCAATAAAGATACTCTACTTCAGGTAGTGGAAGAGAGGACAAAATGCACATATCCAAACTGCAATATCTTCATACATTTCAGTATCTGCGTAAAATGGAAGAGGAATACGGGCACGGACACTAACTAGGCAACATCAATAATGATCGCAATTCATCACAATGCGTTGTGAGGCCGTTTTAAGGGAATCGCGGGGGTCCACCTCCCATCACGACTTCAACATGTCATCCGATGTTCAACAGTTGATCAACAAAATTTCAACATGCTGCCAACACTAGGTTCAACACTGGCCCACACGCTACCAACATTGGGTTCAACACTAACCCACATACCATCTCATGTGTAACATAAGTGAAAATTATTTTTTTCCTTCACTTCCTGTGTATCACATGACATGTCATGAGGCAAACAGAAAATATACACACAATGAACAGTTGGTTGCATGCATCGACGTACGCTAAACTTTTGATGAAAAATCACACATTTTTTTTGTTGCATTTATCAGCCGATCATTCGTTAAATTGACAGATCAATCGATTAATCGATCGATCGACCATTCGATTGATTAATCAACCGATCAATCGATTAATATTTATTTTTCCCTACTCTAAGACACTTCAATGATATACTCTCACATTTTGCACAAAACGTTTCTACCCTAACTCCTTCCGCTTCACTCGAAAACCAAAAAAAAAAAAAAAAAAAAGGAAGGAGAAATAATAAATAAACAAAGATCATCGCAATAATCAATCAATCAATCATTAATCATGCAGATGATCAATTGATCAAACGATTCGACCAATCAACCATTTAACCATCCTATCAAGCAATCCATCATCCCATCAAACATTCCACGACTCTTTAATCACTCGATTGATCGATCAACCTGTGTAGCACACCAAACATGTTTGGAGTTTTTTCGAACGTCCGAACTTGTTCAAGTGTTCGGCCGAAAATACTTAAAAAAAAAATTTTTTTTTGTTTTTTTTTATTTTTAAATCGAGTTTGGTTATGAATTTGAGCATACCTCTAAGCCAAAAGTTGTTTGTATTATTATTTTACATAACATATATTGTTTTTAGATTTTTTGGATAACTTTTTGTTTTGTTTTTTTAAATATTTTTATGCTCGTGTTTGAAGAGTTTTGGCGCCCGTTCGGGTTCGGGCCCGAACGTTCGGGTTCGATCACTGAACCCAAACACGATGCTACACAGCAGTCAACCAACCGGCCGATCGTTCAAACAACCAAGCAATCAACCACCACAAACAATCGATCGACAAACCAATCAATTGGTCTCCGACCGATTAATCATTCAGCGAAACGACTCTCAACAAACCAATCGACAGATAGATCACGTGATTGACCATCTAACAATCAACCTATCAGTCAACCTTCGTTCGATGTGCCAATCAAATGATCAGATAAACAAATCAATCAATACATTAATCAAATTGATCAACCTATCGACCAATCGAGTGATGAATTATACGAAACTGTTGTTCTCTTCTTCAATTAATTCTTCAACCAGTTGCTTAAAGGGTGAATCACTTATCAGAGGTGTATTCGCCCTCACTTACGAATCAATCATTGATTGATCATTTGAATATTGAAACATCCAAATTTTTAGCGCAGTTTTTCATCAACCTCTTGCATTGATCAATTGATCAGACCACGTCATTCAGACATTTTTCCAGTTATCCAAGCAATAGATCGATCGATCGACTAATTAATGAATAATCAACCATGCGATCAATCGACTGATCAATCGACTAATCAATGATCAATTGATTATTTATCGATCAACCTATAGATCGATTAATCGATTGATCCATTGTCTATTCGGTCGATCAGTAGGTTATTCGACCGATTAATCGTTTAATTCGCCGATTAATTGATTTATCGGTCGATTAATCGTTATTCGGTTGATCAATTGATCAATCGACCGACTAATCGTTTAAACGGTCGATCAACTGATTAATCGGTCGTTCAATCAATCAGCCAATTGACAAATTAATTGATAGTCGATATTTCGATCAATGGATCAATCAATTATAATTTAGTCGATCAACTCTTCAAGAAAACTGCAAGTCTATCATTTTTCCCCTACCTTAAGCACTTCAATGTTATACTCTCACATCTATCAATCTCTGCGCAAGTGTTTTTTGTTCAACATCATGTCTAGCAAACTGCTTCCAACAAACGTCGAACATCCACCTTGATCTTTAGTTGACTGATCAATCGATTATCGGTCGATGAATCGATTAACCGGCTAATCAATTACCTACTCGGATGATGAATCGATTAATCGGCCTATCGACCAATCAATCAATCAATCGGTCTATTAAACGATCAATCGATTAATCGGATGATCAATCGTTTATTCAGCTGATTAATCGATTAATTGGCCGATCAATCGACCGATTAATAAATTAATCAGCCGATCAATCAATTGATTGATCGACTAACCGATTAATCGACCAATCAACTCATTAAACCATTTCATCAAGATAAAAACATAATTATCTCTTCTAAGGCACTTCAATAATGCACTGTCACATCTATCAGTCTCCCGTAAGTAATTCCATACAATATCATGATCAGCAAGCCGCCGGCAAGAGGTGTGGGTTTGCCACTTGGCAAAATAGTGGAGTTTTCAGTAATGCACTGAATTCTTGGGTCCGCCCCATGGCACATTGACGAAGAACAATATGAGTGGCTTATTATAGAAGTACATATTGTATTACTACGACGATAAGTTTGGAGGCTTAAGAGACTGGCAGGTGACCACATGGGATGATGCTAGGGGTAGTAAGGAGGAGAGCATTAAAAAAAACAGAAAAAAAAACATTCTTAAGAAAATGATTACAAATTCTTAAATTACTTCACCAAGTTTACTCCCAACGATGGACTTGCGAAGCAATAGTTGTGTTTAGGGATGGACGAGTTAACAAACTATTGTAAAGGGTGATTTCTTCCACATTCCGACGAAAGACCAATCAATCACTTAAATCCGCCAATCAATCCTTTAATGGGCCGATCAAGCGATTAATCGACCAATCGATTAATTGGTCGGTCAATCGATTAATCAGCCGATCAATCGACTAAATCTTTTCTTAATGCAATACATTGATATACTCTGAGATCTATAAAGTGTTTTTACAGAATATCATGTTCAGCAAGCCGCTTTCGACAAACGTCGAACAATCTACCTGGCCTTTAGTCGACCGATCAATTGATTATCGCCAATCAATTAGTCGATTAATCAGTTGATAAAAAAAAAAAAAAAAAAAAAAAAAAAAAAAAAAGAGGGAAGGGAGAAAGACCGATCAATCGATTTATTGACCAATCAATTGTTTAATTGACCAATCAATCAATCGACCAATCAATCGAATCATAATTCAATATCCTTTCTTCCCTACCGTAAGAAACTTCAACGATATACTCTTACACCTATTAGTATTTGCGCAAACATTTCTACTCGACCTCCTTGTACTAAAAAAAAAGGTGGGGGGGAGGGGGAAGGAAGGGAGAAGGAAGAGAAAATAATAAAAAATCAAAGAAGACAGCAAAGGAAAACATGAAAGAGACATTTTACTCAGATTGCAATATGTGCATGACAACTACATTTGATTCCCGCAAATTCATCTTCATCAACACAATTACGAAGATAAAAAAAAGGAGGGAGAGAAAACGACAAGGAGAAAAG